TCTCCTTTCATGCCTTTTTTTAAAATAGAAGCTGATTAACTAAAAACATATGCCAGAGGGACAGAGAAGACCAGGAAAATCATTTAAGCAGCTAAAAGTTCTGTTCCATTGGGCCCCAGAGAAAGATAAAACCAAACTATGCCCTCCCTGGCCCCTGGCAGAAGGTGCCCTAGTTTTTGTGAGTGGTAAACGGAAATCAATGAGCTGCTCAGAGAGCACTGCAATCCCTTTACCAACAGGCACTCAAAGAGCAAGAGCCAAGGGGATGGGAATCCATACCTCTCCTAATTCTGAAGCCCAGACCCTTTGCAGCAGCACAGGGGCCAGGTAGCTACAACCCAGCAGCTCAGAAGAAACTGCTGATCTGGCTTCCTGGGAGCTTGCTAGAGCCTGAGAGCTTTCGCCCACTCCCCCAAGCCATGCCCTACTGCCCCTGAGCCTTGTGCCTCCTGGCCCTTATGGGGTGCTCACTCTGCAAAGAGGAACACTTCAACGCTTCCTACTCATTGATTGTCAAGCCTGTCTGCTCCTCTGGGCTTCTCTGCTTACATAAGTTTTCTCTGGCCAGAGCTTACTGATTTCTAATAAATCTTCTCAGCCTTTCTCTCTGTTCTGGCAAAGATAATCTTCCTTGGTTTGACTTGCAGGCCTCCATGCTGGTCAATTTAGTTTGGGACAGCCCCCTTTACCTCCTACCTGCATTTCAAAGCTCTGTGAGTTTGCTTTGATTTGTCTTTAATTCTAAGTAAATATAAATGTAAATGAGTATATGAACAGAACTTGAATGAGTTTCGAGTCAATGAGTTTTGGTGTAACTGACTCTTCATTCAAAATATAGAACATTTCCACTAACCTAGAAAGTTCCCTCTTGGCCCCTTTTATTTAATCCCCTTCTAGAGGCAACCACTGTTCTGGTTTACTTAAATTTTGCATAAATAGAAACACAGAATATGTGCTTCTTAGTGTCTAGCTTATTTCACTAAACATGTTCCTGAAATTGGTCCATGTTGCTGAGTATATCTGTAGTTTATTGTTACTGTCTTTAATTTTTTATCTTTTTTTTTTTTTTTTTGCGGTACACAGGCCTCTCACTGTTGTGGCCTCTCCCGTTGCGGAGCACAGGCTCCGGATGCGCAGGCTCAGCAGCCATGGCTCACAGGCCCAGCCGCTCCGCGGCATGTGGGATCTTCCCAGACCGGGGCACGAACCCGCGTCCCCTGCATCGGCAGGCAGACTCTCAATCACTGCCCCACCAGGGAAGCCCTGTCCTTAAGTTTTTATTGCTGAATAGTATTCCAGTGTATGAATATGCCAATATTTTGTAGGTTTCTGGGTTTTTGGCTCCAACATCTGGAGCAGGTTTCCTGATCTTCTAACAAACAAGAGAGACAGAAAATGGAAGTTCAAGAAGATGGGAAAGAGACCGTAAGATCAGTGTGATGTGAGAACTATGCCATCAGTTAATAAAAAGCTTTCTTTCTTTTGCTCTGTGAGGTGACCCTAAATTCACCAACTCTTCAATTTCACAAGGCAGAAGGTCTAAAAGTCCATAATCAGGCCTGTAGACCTCTGAAGAAAGAATATTTCTCTACTTTACTACAATAAAAAAAGACTACCTCTCTACTTTACTACTAGTACAAGAAAAACTTTTACTCATCTTTCAAGTCTAGCTCAAATGGCATCTCCAGTCTCTAGCTTTTCCATAACCTTGAGGGAAAGTGGCTCAACCTCTCATTTGTGTTCTTACAACTCTCACGAGCCTTGGTTTCAGTTTTTACCATCTTTTACTACATTGGTTTCTTTGCAGACCTGACTATACTTTCTACCAAGGAAACTATGGACTCCTCAAAGAAAAGGTAACTTCTGGCATCTAGCACAGTGATTACACACATGGTGTAAAGGAGTAGACAAGTGGATGACTGCCCAGACGGATGGGTGGATAGATGGACAGATGGATGGATGGACAGATGGATGGATGGATGGATGAATGGATGGATGGAAGGATGGATGAATGAATGGGTGGATGGATGAAACAATTTGTGAATAATGCCATATTGCTTATAAACTGAATGAATTATCTGGTTTTAGCAACCCCCAGAAGTATCATGGCATTGCTTTCTCTCACTGTCTTGCATTCTCATTGGTTCTGGGAGTTTATATTATTCTACCTGCCAATAGGCAAATGTCTCAGGATCATCTAGAACAGGTGGAATCTTCTAGCCACCAGAAACTGGCTTCCTGATGCTTTAAGAAATATTTTCATAAGAGTCAGAGTTTGGGTGGAGTCACAGTTAACCTACAACTAGCCCAAGAGGTAATCTTGACTCAGTGGAAATCTTCCCGGCACAGGACAGGCCTGAGTACTGAATGAGTGACTGACGGTGCTTCTGCTGTCAGCAGGAGGCCAGTTAAATACAGTCGCATAGGTAGCTGAAAGGTGATGTTGAGCCTGTAGGAGAGCTTTGTGACACTGTGAATTGCATCTAGGGCTCAGCTGTTTCTCACCCACCTCTCAGATGGTCCCAGCAGGAAACAAGTCTGTGGCTGTCATGTTTACAGTTAATTAATGTTTATTTATATTTTTAAACAAGGCTTTCACCTGTCACGCTTTAAAATAAATGTTCTGCTCTTCAATTAGAGATTGTCAGAACAGAGAGGAATCCTGTTTGTTACAGGTTGAATGTGTGTATGCTTAACTGTGTATCAGGTTGGAACCTTTTTTTCTGTAAGTCTTTCTCTCTCCTCCCAGAGGCTAAGTCCTTCTATTCAGAGAGACATACTTTTCAAGATCTTGACTGTGATATTGGTGCTCTGCTATGTAGGCCATGAACTTGCTTCTACAGGGTAGACAGCATAGATTACAGCATCTCCTTGGAAGGGGGGGCCGGGAGTGGGAGCTAGCATGAAAACATTGCACATTTTGACCAGTGTAGAAAAAGCATTCTTAAGGGAAAAGGATGTGCTTTGTCCTCTTTGCAATAAAGTGTTGACTCAGCAAGTCTGAAGTGTTTAAACCCTGTACACTCCAAAGAAAGGTCTGGCCCTTGACTGACTCCTGGGAGAACACCTTGACATCTTTGGAATATTCTGCTAGATAAAAGTGTCTTTCTTTACCTGGGCCTCAGGCAATGTGAGAAGGCTGATGCTGACAATGTGATATATGGTGGGGTTCTTGTGCCGCAAAGTGTCAGTTTGACCTCTGAAGGGTCTGGAAACTGAGTAACTAAGCTCAGCCACGTGGGAAACCATGGCTACAAAATAACCCCTGATAAAAAGTCCAGGACACCGAGGCTCAGGGGAGCTTCCCCGGTTAGCAACACTCTACCTGTTATTACACATCATTGCTGGAGAATTAAGCACTGTCCATACAACTCCCCTGGGAGCAGACACCTGGACTTATACCTGTCTCTCCTTGACTCTGCCCTCAGTGCTTTTTACCTTTGCTGATTATAATCTGTATCCTTTCACTGTAATAAACTGTAATTATGAGCAGAAAAACTATTCTGGGTTCTGTGAGTCTTTCCAGGGAATCACCGAACCTGAAGGTAGTCTTGAGGACACGCCAACACATCCTCTCAAAGAGTAAGTGTTGAAGAAAGATGGAGTTCTGGGTGGAAAACCAGATCAGAACTGAATCTCAACTCTGTCGTACGCTTCCTGGTGATGCCAAGGAAATCACTTGACCTCTTAATCTTTTTGAGAGTTAAATAAGCTTCTATATTAGATATTCACCCATTGTTTCACTAGATATTCATTGAATGTGACACTGTTTTGATGACATAGTACATGGTCAAAATTTGGCTAATGGTAGAGGTAACTGTCTGAGTTGGTTCATCCGTGAGCTTTTCCACATTAGTTTAAGTTCCTTAGGTTAGGTAAGCACTCTAAATGTGGACATATGCTCCTCTGCACTTTTGCAGACAGATATGTTCACAGTTTGTAGTCAATAAATGATCAGTAAAGCAATTATACTCCGATAAAGATGTTAAAAAAATACAAATAAAATAAATGAACAGTTTCATACAGTTACTTAGCTAGTATTGCCTCCTATCTTATCTTGAGCCTAAGCCTCTGGAGCCATATAGTCTGTTTTTCATCAACTGCTAAGTTACTATAGGCTTGGGAGAAAAGCCTACACATGAAAGTGCCTAGCACAGTGCCAGAATCATCGTTGGAATTTAATAAGTACTAGTTGACTGTCAATCTGAACATCTAGAGGATTTTTTTCCAAATAATATTTGGAAAAAATACCATTTCCTTTCTTGAACAATAACTGAAAAAAAAAAATAAATAGAGACCCAGGAAATGGGATGAAATGCAATTTTTTGCCCAGTTTTCACCAATGAGTATTGAACTACTGCTTTGCTCCTATTGTTGGTTAAATTGTTTCCCAAAAAGATATGTTGAAGCTCTAATTCTCAGTCCTTATGAATGTGACCTTATTTGGAAAAAGATTCTTTACAGATGTAATCAAGTTAAGAGGAGACCGTATTGAATTAGGGTGGGCCCTAGTCCAGTGTCTGCTATCCTGATAAGAAAAGGGAAATTTCTACACAGACACACAGAGGGCAAAGATGGCCATGTGAAGACAGAGGCAGTGAGTGGAATTGTGCCCCGCCCGCCCAAGCCAAGGGATGCTAAGGATTGCTGGCAATCACCAGAAGCCAGGAAGAGGCAATGAAGGGTTATTTCCCATAGCCTTCAGAGAGATCAGAGCCTGCTGACACTTTAATCTCCAGACCTCTAGCCTCCAGAAATGTGAGAGAATATGTTTTTGTTGTTTTAAGCCACCCAGTTTGTGGTACTTCGTTATGGCAGCCTTAGGAATTGAATACACACACACACACACACACACACACACACACTTTACAGCTTGTCACACACAGGTCTTTGGCTTGTGTCTGGTCTTCCTGCCTGGACAGAATGTATTCTGCCTCCTGGGAGGTGGAAGGAACCAAACAAGAGTGTCGAAGCCGAAGGAAGCGAAGGCAGTAACTCACCATGGGACGCCGGCCGATGCTGCCCAGGTAGTGCAGGAGCCCTTTGGCGTGGTAAATTGTGGGCTGCAGATGGGCACTGGGAGAGAGCCACTGTCTGTTCAAATCCCCTCCTCTCAGTGAGCATCTGTGGCTGCAGGAACAAACAACAAGTAAATAAATACACGTTTAGAAGAAAATAAAGCTCGACAAGACAAACAATTAAATTAACGAATCTAACTTCCTTCTGTCTTCGTCTCAATTGACATCAATTGAAGTTGTCCAGAAAGATGCATATCTGGCCTCTAATCTCCCAATGTGCCGTGATTATTCACAGCCCCTAAAAGAACTTAGAAACCATATTTAACTTGATTTGGGGTCACCAGTGTTTGAAAGCAAAGTTTGAGAAATGTTCCCTGCTATACAACACATCCATGGAAAACAAATTCAATAAATTTCTCTAGGCTCTGGGACCTTCAGTTCTACAAATAATTAAGTTGAGCTCAATCTATCATGCTGGGCATATTACATATGATATTTCTAGGTGGCCCAGTAACTCTGGATATTATTGCACCCCAATGAAGAGACTGACACTTAGAAATGGTTAAATAAATGGCCCGAGGTCACATAACTTAGAGCTAGGCTGTTCATCCAGGTCTGTTTCCCTCTGAAAAAAAGCATAAGGCTCTTCCTCCTATCACATTGCTTCTGCCCACCCAGTCCATATAGATGACACAGAAAGCTTGACATTTACTCAGAGAGCCAGACTATCATTTTCAGAGACATCATCATGGAATATTAGCTCTAGAAATGAGCTTAAAATCATACATCTCCTCATCTGGGAAAAGGGGATGTTCATGTTTGAAAGAATGAAGTCGCTTTACAAAGGTGACACAGCTGGTGAGTGAGAACAGTGACTGCAATTCAGAGGGAAGGAAGCTGAGTTGCTGAGTGACAGGTAAGGTCATCCTAAAAGCCAAGGATGACCATAAATTACCAAGCACAGCCCATTCTCCAGGGAGGCAACCAGAAGTCCTGCTGAGACATTGTTTATTCGATAGGGCTAAGGATCAAGGTATCACAGATTAGGAGGAAGCAGTGCAGTACTTCCATGGCCTAGTCTTCCAACCCCCTACCCTAATCCCTATAGCCACCTCCTGCCGCTCTTGTCTTTCCATACTTCAGCTTGATCAAACTGCACACAGTTCTCTGAGCAATTGTGCCTACTGGTCTCATTGCCAGGACTCTTCAAAGCTCTATCCCTTCCCACCTATTCAACATTCAGGGATCAGCCCTGCAGGGAAACTCTCCCTGATCACCAGGCCATTACATTCTGCTCCTATTTGTTGCAATAGCATCCTGGGACAACCTTCATCAGAGTTCTTATAAAAACCTTTTTAGATTTTTTTTTAATTTCTTTTTATTTCTCTTACATTTGCAGTTAGACTGTAAGCTTCCCAGAGGCAGAAACAGTTTCTTTGTTACCATCAAAACCTTAATATAGTAACTGTGTCAGAGTTGGTATTCAGTAAATAATTTGGAGTGAAAAAAATGTACTAGATTTAAATGTAGAATCACATACGTTTTCTGTTTAAAGAAAAAACGCTATTTTTCAATAAAACTTGGAGGCGGAAGGAAAAAGGTTCAGCCTCCTCCTTTCACCACTTTTTCATCTCATGTTTCTGAAATTATCTTTAAATATTAGTTTCCTGCTGCTTGCTAGCCCCTCTTACAGCTCACTGGAAACTGAAAATCATTAGATTAATCATTTATCCCGATTTCACCATTAACATATTTTGACTTGCGAAATGGGAGGTTTTTTGCATCTACCTCTCTGACTTTTTTGTTCTTTTCTTGCTTTCCACCCCCCACTTCCTCTTTTTAATAGCAATGACATCTAGAAATAGGGTTTCTGCCTGACGACCAAGGATGAAGGTAAAATACAAAGCAGATTTTTGGAAAGAAGCAAATAACAAGGAAAGAAGCCAGTGTCCCAGACTTTCTCCTGAGCTTATTTGCTGAGTTTAAATGAATTTCTTTTCTCAAATCGAGGTACTTGCAGGCACAAAATCCCAGAGCCTCAGGATTTTCTTTAACTGTTCTGTGATTCTCCTTGCCTTGACCTGGATTCTCATCAACACTGGGGATTTCTTTTTTCTTTGTAACATCAAAAGTAATGAAATCAATGAAGGCCCCTTAAAAGCATTTCTGTTTGTAGAAATGAAAATGCAAGCATTATATGTGTCCAACAGCCAGCAATTCCATGCAACTCTCTCTACCTCTTCTTTCCATATGTTCCACAAAGACCAAGTTCAAGAGCAATGTCCACATGGAAATGACTTTACCAAACAGCAGATACACTGTTCTAGATTACAGTTCTTCAAAAAATAGGAAAGAAAAAGTTTTGTGTTGCAATCAGAATGAGCCTGAGTGTTAGTTAAGGAGATCAAGTCTCAACTCCCAGCTCTGTCACCAGATATAGGGTTGGGGGCCCCTTTGAGAGTCAATATTGTCATATGCAAAAGAATATAAGTATAACCTATCTCCTAGGACTATTTTGAGGGTTAAATTAAATGATCTCTATTTTAGATATCTCCATGGAGAAATACCTACATAACTCTGTCATCACCCTTGTCTATGTCCATGTCATGTCCACACCTATATACACATGCACGTCTCCATCTATAGCTGTATCTACATCCTCATCCACATCTACAATACTCAGGGATGCATAGCACCACTTGGACTATGTTCATTAGTTCCTTATCTCATCCTAATATTTTTCCTTTTGAATAATAATCAGAGAGCTATATGCAGGTTGATTGGAAGGGAGCAGAATCTTGGCTAGGAACCCCAAACCAGAGGCTGTGGTTAGTTTTAAGTTCAAGTTGACTTGAGCACTTTTAATGGTGGAAGCAATGAGACTGAAGAGAAAAGAAGTTATCTAAGGAAAAAATGCAAGGATATAACAATATAGACTGCTGAATGGACTATTTAATATACCAAGCAGGCCATTAAATAGTACCAAGAGGAGGATGGCATCTAAGATTGACTAGGTACATGGATTTGGAGAGAAACTGGGCCAATGTGAGACTTAGGCAAGCTGTTAGTTGGGTATAAATTTTGTTTCACAATGGTGGAGACAACGATGCATTCCTTTGGTATACGTAGATTGTATGAACTTGGGAAACCCATATGTGTGTATTTGTATTCAGCGCTCTGTGCGTGGCTATGATTTTGAGAGTAACTCTGTGTGTGCCTATGGCTTCTGCAGTTCCTAGATCTCGGCAATTGTAGATTATTACAATATGTACTACACCTAACTTGAGTGCTTTTCCTTTTAAAGCAAATACATTTTCTTCCAATCTCCAAATCAATTTGGCATGTTGTGTTAATAATATCAGAGATTCATGCAGTCAGGGGAACTGCTGCCACTCTTCCTGGGGATTTGTTTTAAGCATTTGAAGAGGAAATGCACCCCATCTTATTATCTACTGTAGCATTTCTGAAATGACAGCTGCTCCCTCTATGTGGAGAGAATTAGCAGATGGACAGCTATGACTGGTTGGCAATAAATTCAGTGCCTCTAATTTCTGAAAAGGGGTCATCCCTCAAATAGAGTTTGAAGTCCTGCTTTGCTTATAAGGAGAATAAAATGGTGAGCATTGCTATTTTTTTCCCCACTGAAAATTGCAAACTTACAGAGCAGGGGAAAAAAGCACTTCCTTTTGGTTTTCACAGGGGGAAGTCATTTGATCCAAATAGTCCTCATTTCTTAAAAGAAAAGCTTTGGTTTAACTACAGTCTAGTTTAAGGTAAAGCTTAGATGCACAAAGTATGCTAGGTCTAGGGTGACCAACCATCCAGTTTGTCCTGGAATGTTGCAGTTATAGCCTGGAAATTCCTATATTTCCCAAGAAACCCCTCAATTCCTCGTGAACGGAGGGGTTTCAAAGGTAGGATCCCTGACCAGAGTTGGGTTTGATTGTTTTAACTGACTTTGAATGTTTTAGTTGAGGTACACTCTCCCCCAACCTCAGGCACCTTTGCTCCCTATTTTTACCTCTGAGTATTTTATGTATATATTATGAGCCTGCTTTTTTTAGGTATTTGCAGCCCGTGTCTAGGATGTCTCTCTAACCATTAAACCTGCAGGTTTTGGTAGGACAAATTCCTTCCCTTAAAAAAAAAAAAAAAAAAAAAAAAGCTTGTCATTTCCTGAAAATATGGTCATTTTATGACCAAAAAAAAAAACAAAACCTCAGTCAAAATTATAAAAAATGAATCAGAAGGGCCAGTCCTAAGAGGTCACTGAATAAAAGCCACCAACTTCATGGTAACCTAAGGATAGCCTTAAAGGTCAGACAGTCTAAAGGGAAATGATGTCACTGTAAACCAGTTTCTTAAGACTAATTGTGGATTTTATGTATCTGCTAAGAACAGGGCTTATCCTGACCAGAGAATGGGAAATAAACCATATAACCAAAGGCCTTGACAAGCACACCCTGACCTACCAGGACCCCTGAAGCAAAGAAAGAACCACAAGCCAGAGGAAGAAAGAGGAAAAAGTGAGTTGCTTCCTGAAAGAACATCTATAAAGCTGCAGTCAGACAATAAAATGACTCAAAAATCTCCCATCCATCCGTGCCTGATAAAAGGAGAGATGGGGCCCATCAGACTGAATGAGTGATGCCAGGCTTGCTGATACAAGTGCCTGCGGCACACCAAGCTCTGAAGTCTAAAGAGAGGTAGCGTGCTTGAGACTTAGCAAATGTCTGAAGAGACATCCCCCCTACCTTCCCACCTCATTTTCCCCACTATTGTATTAGTCTTTTCCATGTTTTAATTTGAAAACCAATATAGAGTTAAGATGAAAATGTGTTTTCTCCAAGTTATTTTGACAAGTCTGGTTTCATAATATCACTGAAACATCCAATGGAACAATTCAAAAGATAACAAGGTGAGGACAAGCTGAAATCAGGTCAGACCAGATTAAGGGGTGGGCAAATATAGGTGAGCCCTACACTATCACTTGTATAAATCAGGAATATGTAACCAGTTAATTCACATTTCTACATAGCACTTGATCCCATATACAACTGACTCAATAAAAATAGGTATCACTCCCATTGAAACAGTTAATATTCTAAGGTT